TTTCATATTGTGTGCTGTTCTGTGTAGCATGATGAAATCTCCATCCAGCCTGGGACATAAATTATCCCTTTGTCTGGGACAGCCACTCTGTATACACTATTAGTCACTTAGTAACCATCTGGGTTATCAGATCAACTGTGTTCAAGTCACCCGTACTTTACTCAGTAACGGCCTCAAAACTCAAGAGTGGTGATGCTGGCTATGAGGAGATGCCAAAGAGAGGTCATTAAGCGCTTCCTTTAAGTAAAAGGGAGAGTACAGAGAGTATTTTTAGAGGGAGAGAGAAAGATCGCATTCACATAACTTTCATTGAAGTATACTGTTATTGACATAATCATTCTATTTTTAGTCATTGTTGTTGATCTCTTACTGAGCCGAATTTATAAATTAAACTTCATCATAAGAAACTGTGTAGAGAAAAAAATACATAGTATACATAGGGTTCAGTAATAGCCACTGTGTCAGGCATCCACTGGGGGTCTTGGAAGGTATGCCCTATGAGTAAGGGGTGAACTACTGTATATTTTTTTAAACCACATAAACTTATTTCATTGTAAAACCCCATCCCCGCCTCCAATTAACTCTCATATAACACAATTTGGACTCCTGCAATCAATTGTATTTGGAATCCTTTGATATTCAGGATCCCATTTTTAGGCCCCAAATTGAGCCTAACTGTACATCTGCGTTCAAGCCGTATGCAAACTCCCCTCTGCAGATGCAAGCTCTGCGTTAGGAAACCACAGGCCTGGCCTGGAGAAAATAGAGAGGCACTGCCACCTGCTGGACAAAGTTTAACTCATTAACAGCATAATTCTGCACATGCAAAATGAACTGAAGGTCTTAAAGGAACTGAATCTTAGGATCTTACTTAAAACAAAAACTCTGTTACATCTTTGGACACCCATCCTCTATCTACCAAATAACATAATCTATAACAACCTGAAATTTCAAAGTTCGGTACAAGTTAATAGTAATTGGCCTCAATCCCTTCTCAACAGTGGGGTTCATTTAATGTTGAAATCTTTACTCTTTGATATTTCTTGTAAGAGTTTAGACATAAAAACAGATAATTAAAAAAAAAAAAAGAACAGTGACTTGGATGATGTGTGTTATTTAAGTCATAGTTCCAGCGAACTTATTCCCTTTGATTGTTTCAGGGACAAGGGGTGTGACCAGAATACAGTTGATCCCATCTCTTAAGTCAGAGATACTATTTCCTAAAGGCATGCAATTTCATAGTCATAGGTCAGCTGTAACTGGTGACATAAGTCAAGGTTCATCATCCCCCGCCCCCAGTGATGAAGGTACAACAAAGCCTGATGTCCCGGTTCCTCACAGACACAGGCCCCATCTCTCTACCTTGATGTGACTTGCAGGTCGATAGCTAATTATTGAATCCTTATCATATGTTAACCTCTGGGCTAAGGGCTTTACATGGAGTTGGTGCGGTACACCTCTCAACAACCCTGTGAAATAGACTGTATTGTTTATGCATGTTATGCAGGTGGGGACCTGAGACTTAGAGGGGTTATACTTTGCCTCTGGTCATACAGCTGAGGAGTGGAGAAGCAGCTGCACCTGGGCTGTCTGCTGGAGATCCTGTGCTCTAATCATTACGATAACCTGTCGTCTCAACAAAAATGCGTAAGGTATGCAGAGAAGGGGCTGGGCATTGTGACCGGCGGGTTTGAGATGGGATCGCATTGTGGATCATTTCAACACCACTAGTTACGGGGAAGAACCGATTCTGAAGGAATAGCACCATCTAGGATTCTGTCGTGTCCTCTAGGTGGCGATCACCTACGTAGCTAAACCTGGAAAATCACTAAGGCCGTGGGGACTGTTCGAAGTTTTAGGAGGGTGAGGAGAAGCACTTAATAATTGTACTAAAAATGAAAGGTAGAAAGAGCAGCCCTAAAACATTCTATGTGATATTTTAGTATTATAATAATTCAGACCTTAGAGATCATCCACCCAAAGATGCACTTGCCCCAAGCCTTATGGGCAGAATCGTAGCAGAAAGAGGACTACAAGTGTCTTCTAACTCCCAACTCACTGTTCTTTCTTTAAGGATGGCTGTTCTTTATGATACACAGGCCAGGCTTTAATCACATGGTATTTGTTTTAACTTAGCAAAGACATCTTTGTTGCTAGATGAGAACTTGTATTTTTCCTGTAGAATACTATATTACAATTTCTCTTCTACATATTTGCTATTGTCTTCTATGTAAATGCCTTCAAGTTTAAATACTGCAAAGCAAATGAACTCAGAGATTACACTGTTATATTTCTAATGGGAGGTCTGATTACCATTCATGACGAGTAAAAATATAATATTTACATTTGTACTCTATCATCATTGTTTATAAAATATTTAAGTAATATTTTTTAAAAAACAAAGCACCCGATTTAGGAATGCACTTAAATTGTCAAAAATTAGTCATTTGTTTGGAATTACATATTTTTCCTTTGTAATAGTTGGTGGCCAGATTCTCAAGGCAGCCCACAAAAGTCCCTACTGTGGCTCCAATATTTGTAATGAAAATGGGTTGAGAATAAATACTAATGTAATGATAGTAATGGAAAGTATTTAAAATACAAGGTTAAAGGATTGGACACACCAGCTTTCAAGTCCCCAGAAAGCAGGAAGGTAATGGGCTAGTCTTAGGTCATAGATTTAGTTCCATGTCTGGCTGCTAGGTGGCGCTATTGAACTAGAACAGCTCAGTTCTTTGCCAAGTCAAAAGGTTTATGTGAGGGATGTTTAAATGACTGCTCCTACTGCAAATATTCACATAATCTCTGTTTTCAATTTGTTTATTTATTTTCACCTTTAACACCATTGTGATTTTAGCTCCAAAGGAAATTATGACTAAGAAAAATATTGATAGTTCACAGTGTATCCGTTTCAGACCATGAACAGTGGAAGCAGCTGAGGAAAGAATCACTCAGAGGTTCATTGGTTGCGTATATGACATGTGGCAGCTGAAGAGTGATTCTGGGGTGATATTTAAAATATTTAACAACTGGTTCCATTCAGCAGCGGAATTCGGGCCAGGATCCTGAAGACCCTCTCTGTACCGTGAATTACCCCTTTCATTACTTCATTTTCTGGGGGACGGTGAAGGTCAGCCAGGGTGGCAGGTGCACCTAAGGGTGGATGCTGAAGGCAGTATAGATGTAGTTCACTATTTTAACCACTAGCACAGCTGGATGGTGTCAACTGGCCATGTGTTGGCTCTGAGTGTGTAGAAACTTCTCCTCCCACCACAGAGGAGTGTCGGACGTCCCTTATTCTCTTTTAGCAGAAGCCTCAGACTGTTAATACTCTGCTTTGCCAAACTCGAGGGGAAAACAATCTTTAATTTATAGGTGGAAAGATTGTGGCTGAAAGCAACTGAGCTAAAGGGAATTCAGTTTTCAGAAATACATTTTCCTTTCATTAATGTGCCTATAGTCAAGGGGCCAAGCCCCCCAGTTTCTGAGACGTCATGTATTTAAATGAAGCAAACAGTTGGAAAGTCAAGATGATACAACCTGGTGACAGCAGTTAAGTGGGGTAAGCTTTTTGTTTGTGGTCTATTTGTATTTAACAAGAACAAAGATAAAAATGTCCTCATCTACGTGTTTAGGCTCACCCCCCCAATGTTGACCTTTGGTGTGCTGAGCTGTGGCCTCCTGGCACCTGGATTCCTGTCGGTACCAGATCCCAGGATGGACGATGTGTCTGACATGGGCTCACTGATACTGTCCCCAGATGCTGGGACACGGGTGAGTTCTCCAACTATGGTCTCCAGGATTCAGTCAGCCTTTTATCACATACTGTGTATTACACACACACACACACACACACACACACACACACACACCACGCACACAGACTACACAACAAGATAAAGCGAGGTAAAATAACAAAGAATAATGTAAACCTCTTCGTGAAAGGAATCTAGTTTAGGATAAGAGAGCCTCTTTGCACAAAGACCAGAGACTGTCTTGTCTTACCAAACTAAAAATGGGTCGCATTTAGATGCGTGTCGGACTCTATCTCTGAATGAGGGAGCTGGGGCCCTAGGGCAGCATCTCCCCCCAGCACAACGCCGGGGGTGGTAGGGGCTCCCTTATGGAGGAGGATACGGGGCTCCTCCAGGCGACGACCAGTTACCCTGGGCATCCTACCTGCCGATGATGCAGGTGGGGCGTGGGGTCCCTGCCTGGCTGTGGAATGGGAGACCGCAGGCCACGTTTGAAGGGCCTTTCAGCTGTTCCTTATTCCTGCAAGGCAGGATGCTGCCTTCCATTTCAGGATGACAAAAGGAAACAATCAACAGATTAGCGAATGAACGCGCAAGGCTTGCTGTGGCAGCAGTAGATTAAGGAGAAGAGGAAAGAAACAAACAATGCCGTCTGTCTTTCTCTCAGGATAATAATAACAAAAGTAAATGAATTTCTGAAAGTAATTCTATTTATGGGGACACTATGGGCAACCTTTGTAATTGCTTTGCTACATTCTCTTTCTTGCTGCTATTTGGAAGCCACTCCATTCAGCAGAATAAAATCATAACTGTATTTTCAATTTACTGCTCTATCTCTTCTTTTTGCCAGGATTTTGTTTGCCCGGGCACTTCTGTCAGATGGAACTAGCCCAGAGATACTGCGTTGCACCGTGGCTCCTGCACCTTTCCATCCATGGACTCCAGACCTGCACAAGCCTACTCAGTGGTTCACCCAACAACATGCTCAGGACAAGGCTGAAGGACATGGTGCCAATTTCACTTTCAAAGGCAGAAATGGTATCACCAAGCCTTTAAAACATGGCAACTTTATATTTGGACCTGAAGCTTAAGGCTTTTGCACTTGTATCTCATGGTTCTAACCTTGCTTTGCATCCAGGGGAAGTTTCCTCAGTAACAGGAGAGGTGATTGCACTCCTTTATTTCCTGAGTCCTTTTCAAGGTGAGTAACACTCGGCACAGGGAAGAGCTTTCTTACAGAGTTACCTGGGTCTTTGTAGATACTGAGCACGCCCTTGAAGTAATGAGGTAAAAATCTTTCCAGTAAAAGCAGCACATCTTCCAACTCTTCAAGAATCCCCACGAGCAGGAAGTTTTCATTGACGTTCAGCTTTGCTCTTTCAAGGGCCCACTCACCAGGTTCCCTTTATGGATATAAAAATCATTTTTAAATCAGAGATTCATTTTGGAAATGCAGCAACAACATGCTGGAAGTGTCTCTCTTCCGCCTCCCCACCCCCATTTGTATAAGGGCAAGCTTATTTCTTCAAGGGCCAGTTCTGGCCGAGTGCCACCAGCAGCTTTCCCTGGCCCTCCCAGCGGGCACCCTTGCTTGCCCTTGCCCTCCATGCCTGCTCACTGCTGTCATTGCGGCCTGTGTGTAATGCCTAGCTCAGGGCCTTGAGCTGGCTGAGCCTGGCCTACATACAGGGTCTGGCAGAAACAACGCCTGCTTGAGTGTGGTGGGTAGGGTTGTAATATGGGGGTAGTAATTTATAGTTTTAATTTGAACATTTCACCCGAAATGTCATAGGGTGTGCTTGAGTGTGACAGTATTATGTTACAGAATCACGTGCTTATGATTTTGTAATAAAAGAGTTTATAATAAAAAAAATGGCGTTATTTGTGCCCGATCCTATATTTGTTGGAGTAAGGATACAGGCCCAGGCAATTAGGTCTCCGTCCTAATAAACACAGATCCAAGGGCGATTAGAATGGCTTTTTATTAAGAAGACTAAACCGAACCCATAAAATAAAGACAGAAGTTTTGAAATAAGAAACTCACTGACACAGGGTATTTCAGTAAGACTCAAAATAGGGGTTAGGTCATGTCTGCTCATCGCCTTATTCTTTTAAAGAGTTTAAAGACAATTTCTTTCCATCACAGAAGGAAAACAGCCTCATCTCATTTGTAGAGCAGCTCGCCATACGGACAACATGGCGTGAGTGAGGAAGGATGGGGGCTGCGGGGGCGGGGCTCCAGGCCTGGCGGCGTTCACCTTCTCAGGGAGCTGGGGCAAGCTGGGATTCTCTTTTGAAAAATTGTAGTAATGACCCTTGCCTAGCTCACATAATTGTTGTCAAGGTGGGACAAAGTGACATTTTGAAAGTTTTTTAAAATCATCCTGTCTGAACCAAGATAAGACATCATGAGTACTCTCTCCAAGATTAGGAAATAGATAATTAAAACAATACTTGAGGGAGTTAGTATCATGTTTCCTGGAATAAATATCTTCATTGTGGCAGAGAATGAGTCATTTGGCCCCAAACTGCCCCAGTATCTGAAGCACTGATCTCAAACCAGGTGGCCTTTATTACAGGGGTGAGGATGGCGGCGAAGCCTCATGAACTCAGGAAGTTTAGGATGAAACAGAAAACTGACACTTCTAGTCCCGGAATCCTGACCATAAACCCACTCTCATGTTAGGGTAAACGCCACACATCAACAATCACTGTGTCAGTGAAAAGTACAGTGAATGAGCTGCAGCTTGGAAGCAGCCATCTCCCCTTGGTCTCTTCGGGAACTCAACGACCTTCTAATTAATGTTTTCTCTGGGGGGAAATAACACTCCTGGTAACAGGGTTTATTTTCCACCAAGCAAAGAGAGTAGTCACTGTTACCATCACTCCGTCTCCAGACCACGCATTTGTCTCGCACGGTGGATTTCAACTGCAGCTAGACCGCAATCCCCTGGGAGGGGGCCACAAGGACCCTGAAGGGACTGTGATTAGCCAGGGCTTCCTAACAAGTGCCCCAGGGATGCTGAGGCGGTGGTGGGAGTGGGGGGGGCGCGGACAGCACCCTGAGGGCCCTGCGATCTGAGTAAGTCACTCTCCATAATTACTAGGGAGTACTTTCCTCTCTTTCTACTAAGTCTGTCTCATGAGAGAGATGCTATCAAATTTTGGATGTGAGCACTTCAGACCTGATCAGACATGCCACACAGGCCAGGACAACTGTTGATGAGGTACAGTCACTGTGGAGGAGCAGGCTGGTGCTCATACCTGGTCCTTACTATCTCATGGCTCTGTAGTGGTAAGTGTAAAAAATGAGTTTGTTTGGCATTCTCGGACACAGCTTTATGGGGTGGTCCCAAGGCCTCTGCCAGAACTTGATGTTAATTTTTTTAATTTACAGGACATTCAGAGTCTCAAATGAGATCATCAAAGACTGACAGTACATATTAACTGAATTCCAGGAGGCTGAGAGACGAGAGAGTCTGCCACTGTTGTCCCCACGAGCATGCCATGGGCCTTGCATGTTTACCTGCATCGGGGATGCTGTCCACAAAAATACGGAATGATGTAAAATAACCTGGGGTTGGAACACTCGGGGTAGTTTTCAAGAATGCACTCGTTGATGTCCTAGAAGAGAAAACACAGCAGTGAGATGCCCTGCAGCTCCTGCAAGCCCCTCATCAAATGCCATGCAGGATAAGTAAAACTGATGCTTAAGTGACCGGAGCAAGCCTGAGGAGCTGTCGCAAATGCGGAGATTTCATGGGAATGCTTCCTTGTCTTCTCACACCCTCCTGTTACACTGGCCCGGTGCAGAGAGGGTCAGAGCATTTCAAGGTGTGCTGGTTCTGGTGAGGAAGCCGCACCTGTGTGTGTCCCAGAGGCCTGGAGCCTTCCACGCTACCCAAGGCTCTGGAGGGCACTTCTAGCCCCTGTGACTGGGTATGGCCCCAACAGTTACCAGGCAACTGGTAGGTATACAGTTGGCACTTAACACGTTTGTTGAATGAAATAGTATGACTTACTTCTTAATTCATTCCAACTTAAACTGAGATCTCTGTACAGCTAGCCCCATAGAAATGAGTTTCTCTGTGTATTCATACACCCAACAAATAATCACTAAGTACCTACACTAGTCACATAAAGGGTTTGTCCAGTTGGAGGGGCTGTAAAATCATTTCTAATGTTGTTTTAGGTTAAAAGGAGACAGGACGTTTGTATACAGACATTTTCTCACTTTCACGGACAGCAGCTGGGATTTCCTGATTTTCTATTCCTCTCGTCCATGAGGTTCACTAAACACGGCGTGTCTGTGAGCATTACAGAGCCTGCCATGACTTGCTGGGGGCAAACAGAAGGGCTAAACCCCAGCTTGTATCAAGGCAGATAATGCCGCAAATAAGACCTTGGTTCTTAGGTATTTTCTAGGGAGAAAAGATAACCCAATTTACAAACACACCGACAACTATGGGTGTTTTTCTATAGACGATACTGTCAAGGCAAATCAAGAGAGGATGTAATTCACAAACATGGTCACATGGTTGATGGAGGTTATGAGTCATTTGTAGCCACTGTATATCTGATTCATGATAGGTATAGGTGGTTATTATGAATTTTTTGTTTATGTTGAGAATAAGAAAAATATAACTCAAACATTTTTTTTTTTTTTACAATAACCCTCCACACCAATGTGCTTCTTTGGTTTATATATTGATTAAATAAATGACATAATTACAATACTAAATTCAACTGGAACAAGCAGATTCAGCAACAAACACACTTGAAGCATTTGAGTGTCCCATGGGAAGCAGAGGTGCACAGTTCCCAGAAAGAAAGATCAACTGTCTTGATAAGCCTATCGTTACGTGGAAAGTACTCTGTCAAAAATGCGTGAAAGCACGTAACTTATCGAACGTCATAGCTTAGCCTAGCCAACCTTAAACATGCTCAGAAGGCTTACATCAGCTACAGCCGGACAAAATCATCTTGTTGCCACTGCCCAGGATCAAGAGAGAATATCATACAGCCCATCACTAACCCAGGAAAAGATCAAAATTCAAAATATGTTTCTACTGAACGCATGGTGCCTCATTGTGTATAGAAACCCATTAAAAATGCGTGATGTCAGACCCAAAATACCGTTCTAAGAAAATTTGATGCATAGATAGGAATCTTCATTGCTGAAAAATTTATTACAACAGAATATGGCAGAACTTAAGTGTTCCTTAATGGGACACTGATTCACAGAGAGGACAGGGCACATTCCTGCAATGAAATATGACCCCCTGGGAAGGATAAGGAGCATCCGTACGTACCGTTCTGAAAAGTGTCCGTGATGAATTTTCAAATGAAAAGAAGTAAATTATAAGACAATATAAACATGTAAGACAATATAAAAACACATTTGCTTACATAAATACAAACATACCTGAAACATATATGGAACATATGGAACATATATTGGTTTAGTACACACCACACTGTTTACAGTGTTATTTATGGTGCTAGATGTCAAATATATGGGGATACATTGAACTTATACTTTATTCATTTTTGGAAATGGTAGCTTTTATTATAATGTATGTATTGTACTTTCATCATCAGAAAACTATAAGGAGATTTACACGTTGTGAAACAAATCCAGGCTTATGTGGGAGGGCGGCCCAGCTTTGCCAGGAGGATGCTCAGACCTCCCTTTGTCCTGCACACTCTGGGGGTCCCCTGGCAGTTGGCTTCCCCCAGGAGCCTGAGCCTTGGGTCAGAAGGAGCCAGAAGCAGGCTGTGGTCAGAGGGAGGGGGTCGGGGTGGGGGGCGAGAGGCAGAGCGTAGGGGAACTCTGGCCAGGGCAGGTGTGGTCAGAGGCAGAGTGTCTGCTCCGTGAAGCCTAGACTCCACATCAACGGGTGGAGTAAAGCGATGGTGGTTTACGTGGTCCCAGAGATCTGTCCCATGAACAGTCAGATCCCAGAGACCTGTATTAACAGGAGGGACTGGGCAACAAAGAGCTCCCACAGAGACTCTCACAGCACCCACGTTTCTCCAGAGGTCACGTTACAGTGGTCTTTAAAAAGCTTGTGTCTTTCTCTCACTGACTTATTTCACTTAGCACAATTCCCACGAGATCCACCCATGCTGTCACAAATGGTAAAATTTCATTCTTTTTTATGGCCAAGTAATATTTCATTGTATATATGTACCACAGCCTTTTTATCCACTCATCTACTGACAGGCACTTGGGTTGCTTCCATAAAAGCTATTGTAAATAATGATGCAATGAACATAGCGGAGTGCATATATTCTTTCAAATTGGTGTTTCGGGTTTCTTTGGATGTTTACCCAGAAGTGGGACCACTGGGTCCTAAGGCAGTTCCATTTTTAATTTTTTTTGAGAAACCTCCATACTGTTTTCTACAATGGCTGCACCAGTCTGCGTTCCCACCAACAGTATACCATATGATTTCACTTACGTGTGGAATCTAAAGAACAATATAAATGAACAAACAAAACAGAAACAGTGTCATAGGTACAGAGAACAGACTGATGTTTGCCAGAAGGGAGGGGCATTGGGGAGCTGGGTGGAAAAAGGGAAAAGATTGAGAAGTACAAATTGGTAGATACAAAATAGCCACAGGGATGACAGCATAGGGACATCGTTAATAATACTGTAGGGACTATCTACGGTGTCCGATGGGTACTGGGACTATCAGGGGGGACATTATGTCAAGTATGCTACTGTCTAACCACTAAGCTGCCTACCTGAAACTACTAAAAAATAATACTGAATAGAAACCATAATTAAACATTTTTTAATTAAAAGAAAAAGAACTTGTGTCCTGAGTATCTATGTAGGTAGTTAAATCCCCGAGCAGAGAATGTTCGCTGCATCTCCAGCACTTAGCAGCCTGCCTGGAAAAAGCAAGCATGGGATAAATATTCAATAAATAAATGAACTAATGGCAGAGGAAGAAGCCAAGACACACAGCCCTGCTTCTGTCCCCAGAGAGCCTGGCCTGGGGCTCACGGGCAGGCGGGCGCTGGCAGAGGACATCCTCCTGCTGGGTAGGGGGTGGGGAGGGCGGGGGAGCTGCAGGGCCTAAGGAGGCCAGTTCCCAACTGGGATCCACAAATAACCTCACAAGGTCAATTTATGGGAAGACATAAATTCCTAGTTTAAGAAGTGCCGTTAACAATTCGTCTTTTCTTAGATCAAGGCATGTCCCTGGGGGGATTTGAGAGCTTTCCATTTGAGCCCATTAGGCTGATGAATGGTGTTGGCCACAACCATCCTATGCCATAGGAGGACATAAATAAAAGAGGACTCAGGTGTAAGATCAAGTGGGAGCTGTGAGGACCACGCATCTGTCCGCCTCCAGCTCAGCCACAGTGAACAGTGACGCTGCTTCCCAGCAGTTCAAGGACAGGGGTGGGGGTGGAGGTGGGGGGCGCAGGAAGCTGCTCCTGGCCACTCACACAGTCCACTCTTACTGGAACCCAGACCTTCGGCGGGTGACCTTTCAGTGTCCTGGGAAACTGAACGGGACAAGTGTCAACACAGCTGCTCTTACAGTGTGCTGCTCTGACCGCCACTGTCCAGTCCCCTCCCTGATTCCAACTCCCCCTGGTGTTAACGGTTTTATCTTTGTCATAAGGCTTTGCAGTCCTGTGTTGGTGAATCACTTTTTTATACTCAAGTTTTCTTTGCGTGTGTGTGTGTGTGTGTGTGTGTGTGCGTGCGCGCGTTTTTAAATTATATTTTTCGATTACAGTTTACATTCAATATTATTTTGTATTCGTTTTGTGTGTACAGTGTAGTGGTTAGACAATCAAATATGTTACAAAATGAGCCCCCTGATATTTCAAGTACCTGTCTGGAACCATACCTGGTTATTACAATAGTATTGACTATAGTCTCTATGCTGCACTTTACATCCCTGGGGTAATTACAATTACATTACTATTTCACAACTACCAATCTGTAGTTCTTCATCCCTTTGCTTTTTCACCCAGGCTCTCAAACCCCTCCCCTGCCATCAGTTTGTTCTCTGTATCTTGGAGCCCGTTTCCACTTTGTTTAAATTGCTTCTTGGTTTCCACATGTAAGTGAAATCCTATGGTATTTGTCTTTGACTGACTTATTTCACTTAGCATAATACCTTCTAAATCCATCCGTACTGTTGCAAATGATTAAGATTTTATTATTTTTAATGGTTGAGTAATATTCCATTGTATATAGTAAATATATATTTTTACATGACTATGCAGCTTTATTGTTTTCTTTTCATGCAGTACTTCTAGGATGTTTGCTTTACACAAAAACCTTAATTTTATTTTAAGCTTTGCTTTAAGACTGTTATCACCATCGATAGCCAAGCCAACCCACTTACCAGTGCTTGGCCTGGGAGGTGCTCTTCTAGCCCCTGGATGGTGGCCTCAACCACAGCTACCCCACAGTGCCCTCCTCTGCCAAGTCTAGCCCTCATAAGATTAGGTGTGAAGGTAAGAGCTCACGCTATTCAGATTCCCACATTACTAGGGAAATGAGATATTCTCCATAACTAAGAGAATCCTTTTAATTGCCACAGCTAGGAAAAAAAATAGAGCATTCTTTTGAAATTTATTTCAAATTG